AGAGGCACGCGGCGGACGCCCCAAGACCTCAGCCGTGGATTACTGGCCTATTTTACAACTTGGCTTCGCTGGCCTCTTCGGTAACGCCTTTGTGTCTCTCTGGTCTGTTTCTCTCTTTCTTCTCCCTCTTTTTCTCCTTCTTTTTCTTCTTTGACTTCTTCTCTCTATGGTGTGTTTCTCTCTTTCTTTTTCTATTTTTTCTACTCCTTCTTGTTCTCTTATGGTCTGTTTCTCTCTTTCTTCTTCTTTTTCTCCTCCTCCTTCTTCTTTTTCTTCCCTCTCTGGTCTGTTTCTCTCTTTCTTCTCCCTCTTTTTCTCCTTCTTTTTCTTCTTTGACTTCTTCTCTCTATGGTCTGTTTCTCTCTTTCTTCTCCCTCTTCTTTGTCTCCTTCTCTTTATGGTCTGTTTCTCTCTTTCTTCTGATTCTTCTTTGTCTTCTTCTTCTCTTTATGGTCTGTTTCTCTCTTTCTTCTGATTCTTCTTTTCTTCGTCGGCGCATCCATCTGCCTATTTCTGTGTCTGTCTGTCTATATGTGTGCCTATGTTTGTCTATCCGTCTATCTATCTATTTTTCTGTCTAACTGCTTGTCTGCCTGCCTACCAGTCTGCCTATCTATCTATCTACGTGTCTCCCTGTCTATCTATCTGCTTGTCTCTCTGTCCATCTATCTATCTATCTGTCTGTCTCTCTCTCTATCTATCTATCTATCTGCTTGTCTCTCTGTTTATCTGTCTATATGTCTATCTATCTGTCTGCCTGTCTCTGTGTCTATCTATCTATCTATCTGCTTGTCTCTCTGTTTGCCTGTCTCTCTGTCTATCTATCTATCTATCTGCTTGTCTCTCTGTCTATCTATCTAACTATTTGCTTGTCTCTCTGTTTATCTGTCTATATGTCTATCTATCTATCTGCTTGTCTCTCTGCCTATCTAGCTTTCTGATTCAACCTCTCGAAACAAACACACCAGCTGATCCACGGACCTCGGCACTTGCATAACGAACTTAGTTATCCCGTTCAGACCCATTAATCAAGAACACGAAAACAAAGGTGAACAAAGAGTACGGATAACGCCATCTAGAGGCTATTTCACCCAACTACTGCGTTTTCCCTTCGCGCCTCTCTCTCCCTCTCTCTCTCTCTTTGTCTGGCTCTCTCTCTCTCTGTCTGCCTCTCTCTCTCTCTGTCTGCCTCTCTCTCTCTGTCTGCCTCTCTCTCTCTCTCTCTCTCTCTCTCTCTGTCTCTCTCTCTCTCTCTCTCTCTCTCTCTCTCTCTCTCTCTCTCTCTCTCTCTCTCTCTCTCTCTCTGTCTCTCTCTCTCTCTCTCTCTCTCTCTCTCTCTCTGTCTGCCTCACTCTCGCTCTCTCTCTGTCTGCCTCTCTCTCTCTCTCTCTCTCTCTCTCTCTCTCTCTCTCTCTCTCTCTCTCTCTCTCTCTCTCTCTCTCTCTCTGTCTGCCTCTCTCTCTCTCTCTCTCTCTCTCTCTCTCTCTCTCTCTCTCTCTCTCTCTCTCTCTCTCTCTCTCTCTCTCTCTCTCCTCTCTCTCTCTCTCTCTCTGTCTGCCTCTCTCTCTCTCTCTCTCTCTCTCTCTCTCTCTCTCTCTCTCTCTCTCTCTCTCTCTCTCTCTCTCTCTCTCTCTCTCTCTGTCTGCCTCTCTCTCTCTCTCTCTCTCTCTCTCTCTCTCTCTCTCTCTCTCTCTCTCTCTCTCTCTCTCTCTCTCTCTCTCACGCGAAACCCAGATTTATGGCCGAGATAATGAATGTCAAGCGTTGTGATGCCCGACATTATCATCACAGCTACGGGGAAATTTATGCCCCCTGTACCTTCACCTCGCTATTAACGCGGAGAGAGAGAGATTGAAGAGGAGAACGAGGCGAGAACGGGACGGGGGCGAGATAAGGCGAGATACAGCGAGAACGGGATGAGGACGAGATAAGGCGAGATACAGCGAGAACGGACGGGACGGGGGCGAGATACAGCGAGAAAGGGACGGGGACGAGACAGAGCGAGAACGGGATGAGGGCGAGATAAAGCGAGATAGAGCGAGAACGAGGCAAGGCGAGATAGAGCGAGAACGGGACAGGGACGAGATCCCGACGTGGCGCGGACGAGAAAGCGCGAGATCAGCACGAGAATGACCGAGATCTAAGCCGCTTCGAATAGAAATCAAACAAGAGAAGGAACGAAAATGAGCGAAATTTTGCGAGTTCGGAATTAAACGAAAGAAGGGACGAAACTAAGCGAAATCTAGCGACATGTTAAAGAAATCAAACGAGAGAAAGCACGAAAATGAGCGAAATCTAACGACAGGGAATAGGAATCTGGAATGTGAAGTGAACGAGACAGAGGCCTCGGACGAGCGAGATTTAAAGCGGATCCGAATGGGAAATTAAACCAAGAGAAGGAGCGAGATCTGGCGAGATTTGGCGAGAGAATGAAGAAGAAAGAGGGTGTACTCCGCTGGCGGGTCCCTCTGGCGGACCTCGCGCGGGGAAGACCGCATTG